AATATATAAAAACAAAAGTGCTGTTATTACTGGTGGCTAAACCATCTGCCTTCCTTATTCTTTATGCTCTTTGACCTTCTAGGATTGGCAGCAGTAGCCAAAATTAATTCAGCAATTCGAATGGGTGATGCTGAGAAAACCGTGGCAGAAATGATGAATCCAGCGGCCCAGTTACCAGAGGTTTATGCATTTGCTGCAGATCTTTACCAAAGGGAACTGTCTATCTTACAGGAACAGAGTCCTGAAGTAAGTGTTGAGTTCTCTGTTATTTCTGGAAGTTTGTATGGGTCATCATGTCTACCTTGTCTGTTTTGTTGATTACATTCTCTGGAACAAATCTGTCTCGAGTCTTCACAGAACTGCTCTGGTGTTCAGTCTGTTCTGAATCAATTTAATCCCTAAATCTTGATCTACTTGGCCCTGTAGGATTCTACTTGGTGTTCTAACTTTTTGATACTCATCTTTCTCCTCATTGTCATAAAGTTTGGGATTTTTTGCATTGTTACATGTCTATTCTGACAACTACTCTGTTGTGTTCTCTGTGCAGCAATAGTTTGTAAAGAGTGAAGAGAATGAATTTGCTGTCCTCTTTGTGTGCAGGGTAACCTCACCCATGCAGAACTAGCTGTTGGTGTAGAGATGCTGTCTTCTGTGGCCGTGATTAATAGGGCTTTGGATTCAGGGGATGTGAATACAGTGTGGAAACAGCTGAGCAGTCCTGTCATGGGGCTTACAAACGTTGAGGATGAGAACTCTCAGAGGTAGATACTTCAAGGAATCATGTCTATCCTTGACGTTGCTTATGTTCTGTGACTTTCTGAATTTTTTTCCTTCTCTGACGTTTTACATTATTTCTACGTTTTTTTATTGCATTATCAATTTAATCTGTGTTGTCTCTTGCATCTTGTTCTTGCGATTGCTGTTTCTTACTGCTCTGATTTCTGTGCTCTCTCAATGCTTTCTCATGGATTTCAGATTAAAGCTGCATTGTGATGCCGTTAGGCCGTCGCTAATCCTGCGCCGGCTCACCCACCATGTTCCTTGCCGTGGACCCTCATTCAGTGTTTTTGTGCTTTTCTCTGTTTGATGATTTTGTCTATTTGAACCTACTTCTCATTTGGGCTGACCATTCTGCACACGAGCTTTCCTCTTTCTCCTCCTTTCATATTCTAGTTTCAATCTTGGTGTTACCTCTCCCACTTTGTGTCCAATCCTCATGCTGTGTTGTGTGTTCTCTGGCCAGCTTGTTGTGATGTGATGTTTATTTGGTTTGGACTTTGGTTTTTGACAGATATATTGATGATTTGATGAAACTTAAAGCTCAAACAAGTGCAGAGGGAAATGACTTTATCACATGGAATGATATCCAGTCATGTGTTGATCATGTGAACAAAGTTGTGCAAGAAGAACATGAAAGTAAGTATTTCTGCTCAATTCATGCTAGATTGATCCTAGCTCGTAAAGAGTGCTAAAATGAGGTGTGCATCAATATGAGAAGTTAATGACTTGCAGTTGTGTCATATGTGAGATATCTAGGAAGATCTTAATTGTGAACAAGACTTGGTGGTTTGTAATACAAAAGTCTCAGTTGCAGGACCGTTGATGCAGAGATCAGGCAATCAGGAGCGTTTGTATTGAAATCAGTATCTCAAAACTGTTTATTGAATTGTAAATTTCAATCCTTTTTGGGTAAGAAAATGCATTGTCTATGTCAGTGTCTAGGATTAGTCTAGAATCTTCTAATTTTGCTTCAATCCCCCAGATTTAACGGAAGCTAGTGTTTCCAGAATCTCTTCAGACAGTTGTAGCCCAAGGAGTGCTCAATCTTCCTTCCTAATTTGCTGCATTCCATAGAATATACTTTTGTGAAGTCTTGTTCTGTCTTTGCAGCTCTGTGGTGTTCAGGTGTTCCTTTTATTCCTTCTTTTGAATGTGCATTGGCCTTTTTACGTTCCCAGTATTTAGTGGAAGTTCCACAGCCTCAGGTCCAAAATCCTCTACTTTTTATCTGTGGGTAATTTAACCCACAAATGGAAGATGGCCTACCCACCTTTTGTTGATGACTCTTCGATTTGTAATGATCTGTTAGATGCATTTCTGCAGTGGATGAACAGCTTGAATGACCAACAGAAAGATGGGTTTACTTCCAGGTCTTACTCTCAGTCCTTTAAATCTTGGCTGTATTAACACTAATTCCAAATTACAGGTTCTTTGAAGATCAGTATTGCAAATACTCCATCAAAAAATGAGCTTTTTTAGTTACTTACATTGTGATAAATCAACAGATGCACGGAAAAGTTTATTATGAAATGCTGTCTGTTCAACAGCTATGTTTTTGCTTAAAACATTTGATACAGCTTTTTCAAAGAACATAATTATCTCATCAGTTTGATGCCTTTCAGGTTCTAAGTTCCAGATATTGGGACTCAAATATCAAATTACTTGAAGTTGAAAGTGCTGATCTTTTTAGAGGTTAGTTACTTTTTTGAGATAAAGAAGTCCTTGGAAATAACACAGCTAAATACACTTTATTCTTAGGTAGATCCTTGTGAGGTTCTGTTTCAGATTTAATTTTCTGTTCTTTTTTATTTTGTTTCATTAACTAGTTTTTGTTTATGACCAGTACTGAAAACCTCCTGGGTGACACTTAATTTCAAGCCATCTTTGTAATATTTAGCTCAAAACTTTTGCATTGGAAGGCAGGAGCGATTTGGCAGAAATGTGGAGGTGATGCTAAAGTTTGCATTGTGCATTGAGACAAACAGCTGTCTTCTGCCACTCACTGTGTAGCTGGTGAGCTATGTTGCACCTTGAAAGGTCTTGTGCTCTAGAGAGGGTTCAATGTTAAATGAAAAGCCTGCTGTTACGGTTGTTTTCCTGCATCTCCAAATAGACACTGGATTTCCTTTGGGGTCACATGAGCAGATTTGTTGGAAACACATAAGCATGGACCCACACCAGTGGGTGCACACACCGAGGTGCTAGTTTCATAGTATCTTTTCTGTGTAAGCTGAAGTTTGTGTACAGGCTGAACACCCTGTTTCTTTTAACACTCCTTATCCTGTAAAAAATGGTGCAGAAAATCCTGTAATGAGATCAGTTGTTCTGGGGAGTTTCTTGATTCTTTGGTCTCCAAAGATACTTTTAATCTCCTTCCTGTGAACAAGTGGCATTAGTCTGGGAAGGTCCTGAAGACATACTAGCATATATATATTTCTTTTCCGCTATGGTTGTAAATAGCTTCAAATTAACAAATGCTTCCTAGGGAGAAGCTGTAACGTATTGCTGTTCCATGGAATAGCTTTTCATGCCTATATTTGCAGACTAATCAGAATTTCAGCAGCAGTTCTGTGTCCTTTTCTAAGTTATCCTTTGATAGAAACCATGCCATCATTTCAGTGATACAGTTCTTGCAGTGTTCCAAGCATACGCTTTAACCTTTCCGCTACTCCATCCAAATATGATCTAGACTCTGCAGTAACTAACTGTAAGGTTTTTATTTAGCTTAATGGTAAATTTTACTGTACTTGAATAGCATCCACATGTCTGCTAATACAGCTAATGCTATGTGCATCTTTAATCAAAGAGTTTTCTGAAATACGAAGTTACTGTATTTTTAGATGGTATTCCATGGGAATCTTTAGCTTCATGTGGAGATTTCTTTCCGGAGAAGCCAGAACCTTGGAATCCTCTGCACTCTGACCATTTGGGCTTTGATAATTCTCTTCTGCTGGCTCTGAGCTGGATGTCTGAGGACTCTATTTTGTCCCTGCATGCAGTATTCCTGAGTTATTTCCTTCTTAAACTTTAGTTTTTAATTGCAGTGCTCAGGCTTTATGACTGCGTTAAGGTGGAGAAATAATCTTGCTTTCTTTACTAGTAAACGATGTTTTCTGTTAAAAATACCGCGGTTCTCAGCCAATACTTGGTTTGGGAAGGACCAACTGCACTTTTCTTCTGAAGCAATGCTTGTGATTATTGTTGACCACAAATGGAACTTTGTATTTCCTCCCCTGCGCCTTTCTGCCTAGGGATTTTGGCAATTGGTCTTATCAATGAAGCTCTGGATGAAGGGGACTCCAAGAAGACCATTCAAGCTTTACAGATTCCTGCAGCGAAATTGGAGGGTGTAGCCCCAAAGGTAGCACAGCATTACCAGGATACACTCCTTCGAGCCAAGCGAGAGAAAGCACAGGTGAGTGAGTGCAATTAAATGCACCTCTTGAAAGACCTTTCTGTCTGTGTGATAGGCTTCTTACTGGTCTTTAAAGTCAGGAGTTGAGACTGGCAGTGGAGAGGTGCCCATTCTGCATACTGTCCACTGGTTTTGACCAGTCAGCTTGGATCTTTCTGTATGAGAGAAGGAGACTTGCAGCTAACAGTATCAATTTTTGTAAACTTTGGAGATGGGTATAAGGATATTAAATGCACTTGGTGGCTCATTACAGCTAATCCTGAGGCATGAATGAGATATGTATCTTGTTTGTGGGGAAATACTACGCATCACCTGTTTTTACAAGACCGTGGTTGTTCCAGGAGTTCTGAACTTAGAAATGCGAGTTTCCTGCAAGCTTAAGTATTTTTTTCTAATATTATTTGTTAAATGTAGTCATAGGCATAGTTACATGTGTCAAAAAGAAAGTTTCTGAAAGTGGAAAAATCTATTAAGTGAAAAAAGATGTGAAGCAACATACATGTTACTGGCAAAATGTATTCCAATGCCTGTTGTTCACCTGGTGACGCTTTCATAGCTTACAATTGTTTTAGCAAAGGGCTTCTCCCTGCTTGTGCATAGTTTCAGCTTTCACTAACTGAATGGTGAAGATGGAGACAGGAACAGCAAGTTTCATTTTACAGGTTTAAGAAGGAGGATGGCAAGGGCACATGTGCATACACAACTGATTTTTGAGTAGTGTGGATATGACAATTTTTTTTTCCCCATCTGTTTACAAAGAAGTAGCAACTGTCTCTGCTTTCAGTGGCTTGAGAGTGTTTTATTTTCTTTTTTTATGCTGTGGAGCTCATTGCTCTAATAGCAATGTGCAGTTTTTGCATAGACAGATCTGGATTGTGTTGAACATTGTTTGATTTTGACTAAAGGTAAATCTGTATCATGGCAATAGCTGAAAACTGTATGCATTTCTGATGAAAGTCCTTAAGCAGCTTTTCCAAGGGCCCTGACAGGGTTAAAGTTCCTCAGGAACTCATTTTGTTGTTGAAGCATTTCCTCCTGTGAGTCAGAATGAAATAATGAATTCTTTTTAGTGTGTGTTTAAACTTGTGCCAGGCTGTACTGGTAACTTCTCATATGGTGTGAGATTACCTTATTTAGGCATATGCTCAGTAAAGGGCTTCTCCCAGCAGCATGGCAGTAATTTTAGAGATTAGAAAGATCATATTTTAAAGTAATGTTGTGGGGGAAGTGATCACAGTCTGAAGTCAACTGTTACAAACTCGTGATTTCTGTACCTTGGGGCCAAGAGGGATTGTAGTTCACCTCAAGACATTGTTCAGTTGCTTATGTGAATGGGGAGTGCTGTATGACACGTGTTGCTCATGTTGTGAGGAGAGAGAGAAAAAAGCCCAGTAGACCCTGGAGTATGTTAGACTTGCAACAGTGAAACTGTAGAAAAGCATGAGATGGTTTTGGTAGTCTTTGGGTTGACTTCTGCTGATAGACAGTACAGTATAGTTAGAGTGATTATTCTCCCCCACTCCCTGGACAGGAGTTTTGGTGTTGCTGGTACTCTTGTGGGACTGTCTGGCTTTCAGATGAAATCTGCCTCTGAAACACATTAGGCTCTTGGATGAAGTATCATTTAAGCAAGTTAGTAATGCATGTAAGGAAATGTTTGTTTTCAGTCTGGCCTTAACACTAGCTCTTGAAGGCTGTAAACAGTGGGTCTTTTGAGCAGTGCGATTATTATTCCATACCAGAAGTAAATGTTTCCTGTGCCTTGTTTGTAGGAGGAGAGTTGTCAGAGGGGTAACAGTTGCATCCTAGCATTTCTTTCAGCTGTTACTTACAGGAAGCACCAGTGGGTGGGGAGAAGCTATGCTTGGCAACTGCTGGATCCTTGTTCTTTTATGTATATTTTGGGACTTGCTAAACACTTGTCTCTTTCCTCTTCCCAGATTTCTACATGGAACATTAGCTCATTGGATTTCCCAGCCAAAATACGGGATACTGTGTGGTCACTGCTCCTTGACAAGCAATCTGTTAAAATACTTAAAATGTGGCTTTGACTGCTGTATGTGTACACCCAGCCACAATGCATATGATGCCTTTTGCTTTGCTAGCTTGGACAGGCCTGTGAACTTTTGTGGTCAGGGACAAGAGCAGCCTTATGTGACATTAATTATGCAAAGGTTTTTTAGTTTCTGCACAAAAATGTGGATTGGCAGCTTTGTGTAGTAATATTCTGTTGAACTCCCTGAGAAGTCATGTCCTCCTAGCTAGTACAGCTTTAGGACTAACCAGTACCAAGTCCCTGGCCTTGTGCTCTCTTTGCTTATCAGAGTGGTTCCCGTTGATAGAATTTTGTCTTTGTTCTGTTTCCTGAAGAGTTTATGACTGGGAGAAGGTACTGAATTTGGTAATGCCATAGTAGTCTCTGCTAGTCACAAGTGCACATGATGTTCTTGTGTTGAAGTCAGTTAGGAGACAAATACTTCTTTTTCCTTCCGAAATGAAAAATTACTATATTAGCTATTGCCGAGTATGGGTTATTTTACTTTGCAAAAACAGCGATGCTTTTCTCCTCACACTGTGGTGGGTTTTTTTTTTTTTTTTTGTGTTATATTCTCTTCAGGACACACGGGATGAAACAGCTGTACTTTGGCTAGATGAAATTCAGGGTGGGATTCATAGGGCTAACAAGGACACAGAGGAGTCTGAGAGATGTAAGTATTGTCGCTCAATCTTGCAGTTAATCCCCATTAACAACCAAATATCAGTTACTTAAGGAAATGTTGGGAGCTAGAAATGGCACGTAAATGTGGCAAAGGAAACCATGTGCACTTACAGGCTTCTGGTGAAGTAATTCTTGATTTGAAGTGACTGTCAGATTCTTCAAATATTAAATTTCTTCTTTTGTAGAGGGGAATGTGCCTCTTTTTTTTCCTAGTTTTGCATGTGACCGTTAGACCATGTTATCTGATTGGACAAATCTCTATCAAATTGTTTGTCATTTGCAACTAATTGTGTATGTCTGTGGGTGGTTGGTTAGACATCAGAATGTTCACATGCACAATTGAAATGGGGTTTTCTTTGGAGCATTGCCATCTGTTCTTTCTCGGTTCTCTCAAGCATCACTAGACCAGCTCGCGTGTTTCTCAGATCCAGCCAGTATGACACAGCAGTGGTACCTCCCTTTGCTCCTCGGCACGGTTTGCAGGTGGACTGGCCTACCCAGCGTTGCATCCCAGTCTTTATAATGATGTAGTTTCTGTCTATGGCAACAATTAAGTAATTACTGCTATTGAACTTGTTGGGTTTTTTGGCTGTGTGTTTTATTTTGTTCCTGACAAAACCTTTTCCTTTAACAAAACATGAGGTTTTCAAAGTCTTCTGATATGTTCTAATGATCTGTTCTCTATGTGTGCTGTTTGTTTGCTGGATAACACATGCTTCAGAGAGCTCATTTTTATACATTTGCAAATTATGATATTGTTCTATTTGCATTTACTCTAGAATTCTAATTTTCCCATTACATTCAGCATTTACCTGTCTTCTTGTTTTGCTTGATTCGTACAGTATTAGTCAACTAATTGACTTTGCCCTTTATAGTCACCTTACATTTTTGTTTGGTTCTATTTCTTCCTCCCTGGTGTGCTGATAAAACGTTCTACTTCCTAAACTTCTAGTTTGATGTTAGGCTGATGCTTAAAGTGATCCAAACATGCACAGTCAGTCTCTTCTGATTTGGCTTTGAACAGGCAACCGTATTGGAAATGGAAAAGTTTAATTTGTGTGTGGAATCTCTCTGGTGCATTCTGAAACAGGTTGTCCAGAGACACTGTGGAACCTCTGTCTTTCAGGGTTTTCCAAATGTGGATGGACGAGGCCCTGAAGGTAGCCTAGCTTTGAGGAAGGAATTGAACTAGATTGACCTCCAACATGAGTTCTTATTGAATTTGTCTATCGTATATGTAGAGTTTCTGGCACAATTGATTCCTCTTGTCCTCTCTCTGCAGAAATGAGCTTGGTTTTTTTCAATTTGTGCCTTGTCCATTTGTATTCCTCACTTGTAGATGTTTTAAAAGAGAGCAAAATCAACATGTTCGAAAAACTCTTTGGCCAATGACACAATGAGTTTGTCTAACTCCATGGTCTAGTTTAGTTGTTTTAAATGACATGTAGTCAGTGAATTCCCTTGTCAACTGCCAAAATAAAAAAGAGCTGGGGGAATTAGGGCAGAACTTTTACCTATTCATCTTACTCTTCGTTCCCAGCAGCAATTCCAGTGCAATTCATTCACCCTTTTTCCCACCCATCAAGCACTTCAGCAAGGCAGCGGCTTGAATGAATAAAAATTTGGTCAAAAGCAGGATGTGCCATTAAGCTTGAAAAGATCTTCAGAAACCCATATCTGTCCATGTAGGAAAAGACATATTTGCAGTGTGCCTAGTGCTAAAAATTACTGTAATTCATGTTGGCTATGTTGTGCTCTTGTGATTATGTTTGTATTTGAGTTGCAGTTCTGGAGTAGCTCTGGAATAACATATTGTTATTTTTCTCTTCCTCTGCTCCTTTTTTTTCCTGGTGAGGTTTTTGACTTACTGGCAAACTACTCCATGCTTTTTTTCACTAGGGGTAGTGGTCCTAGTTGTTGAAATAGCCCCTTTTGACTTGTGACTGGCTCTGCCAGAAGATGCATGAACTAAAACAGATGCCAGAGGAGAGCTGTAACTTTGTGTGTTGTTGACAAATGCTGGTGCTAAATCAGCACCATACTGGGACTTGGGGCACACAAGTCATGCATTGTCAGGTGCAGTACTACATATTGTTGGACACTCTGTGCTGAAGAGGCCTCTATACTGCAAGTTGTCTGATTGATTTTTATTTATATTTTATGTTTATATGCACTTAAATATTTGTGTCTCACACATACACCCCAGCTATAAGGGTGTGTTCATGTTGCCTTGCTCTGTTGTGTCATTCTGTGGGTGCAGTGAGTCACTGAGCCCCAGAATGCCAAGCTAACCTGCTTCCTGGTGTTATTCAAGTCTCCTTAGGAATTCTGGCTGTTAATGAAGCAGTAGATCATGGTGATGTTAGCCAGACCCTGAGTGCCTTGCGTTCACCTGATGTTGGGCTATATGGAGTCACTCCTGAATGTGCTGAGACATACCAGCAAGAGCTCTCCGAAGTCAAGAAAAGAAAACTGGCAGCAGGTACACTGCTTAGTGAAATAAATGGAAGATTATTGTATGTGGAATCGAAACCAGAGGTAAAAAAGCCCCTGAGAAGTCGTGTTAGAGGTGGCCATTGCGGTTGCTTTGTGAACTGTGGGTGTGGGTTTTAAAAGAATGTGTAAACAGTATAATGTTCTCCACTTGGAGAATGTGTTGTGTTTAGGTAGGTCTCATATGAGTTCCTTAAGGACTTGGAAACATTCTTTCTCTTGCTTGGAGGAAGAAGCATCTGTAATGTAGATTTTCTAGTTGTAACATTTATCTGCACGAAAGATAAATAATTTGTCTGTTGTTGAGAATTACACTGCATTTTCTGCTCTTAGGGAGCAATGGCAGTGAATGGGTGAAACACTGGGTGAGAGGAGGCTATCATTATTATCATAACCTGCGGACCAAAGAGGGAGGATGGGACGAACCAGTGGAATTTGTGCAAAATGACACACAGCTGTCACGGGAGGAGATACAGGTAGGGTAGATAACACATGCTCTTCCTATGAAAAGTGGACGTTCCCACCATTCCCATCCTTAATGCAGCTCTAAGATAGAATGCTTCAGTGCCATAGTCATGTTAACAACCTTAGTAACTCATTGTTTCACTGGGCAGCATCAGATGATGTGTGTCAAGACTCCTTGTCCCATTTCAGAAGGATTTGTCGTGTCACTAAAAGAGTACAGGTCCATGGTGTTGCTGTTTATTGGAAGGCAGCTTGAAAGTTTCTCTTAAACACAATATGGAAAGCTGATGTAACATCGTTTTTCTTGTATCACTGTTTCCTTTTTCTGGCGCTTCTTCCTGTTATACCGTTACTGCAGAGCACCATATCTGGAGTCACTGCGGCATACAACCGAGAGCAGTTGTGGCTGGCCAATGAGACCCTGATTATGAAACTTCAGGCTTGTTGTCGAGGGTATCTTGTTCGCCAGGAATTCAACTCAAGAATGAATTTTTTGAAGAAGCAAGTCCCAGCAATCACTTGCATTCAGGTAATGATATCCTTTAGTTATGTTTTAAACTTGTACTCCGCAATTGTTTTCTGTACACAGGCAGTGTGAGAGTTTTTGTTCAGTTGAAGCAGTTCCAGCACACAATTGTCTTTGACTTGTTTTTTAAATTATCTAAAAGCCTTTCCTTCTCCCAAAGACTTTTGGTGTATTATTTGCTTTTATGTGTCGTATTTAATCAATAGTTCTCACGTAGAATTGGAGAGAGAAAAACTTACTTTAGGAAGCTTTACCTATAATTTTGTTACCGGTTTCAGTGTTTTGGGAATAGGGCAATATGAAGTGTGTTGTATGTCTTGCTAGTGATGATACCATGAGATGGATTGCTGCTTTGATTCCTCATGAGTTCAAGAGAAACAACATGGTTTTCAGTATTCCTGAGTAAGATTTGTGTACTCTTCAAATTTGTCCAGGGATTTGGAGGATTGCAGGATTGAAGACCTGAAAGAGATGATGGGATAATTCAGCATTACAGGACATTTACAGGACAGCAAAAAAAAATAAAAATCTTTCAGTGGTCTTTTAGCTGAAATGCATGTACATGAAATAGGTATTTTGCAGCCTGTTAACATTGTTATTTGTTTCTGCCTCAGTAGCACGTGATCTCCTGTATGTTTAAAAAAAGCCAACATAAAACCCCCCAAACCACACCCAGCTCAGCCCTTGCCTAACATCTTTTCCAAGTGTTGATAGCAGCAAGTCTTCTCTGAAGGCTTAAAATGTTCACAGGATCACAGACTATTCAAGAGTTGGAACAGACCCACAAGAATCCTTCAGTCCAACTCTCAGGTCTGCACAGGACATCCCCATGAGCCACACCGTGTGTCACATCACTGTTCTCACCAGCAGCAGCATTTAGCACATGATCCTCACGTACAACAGTTTCTGTCAACTTGACTGTTTTTGTGTCCTTGATCCCTAGCTGTACTTCAGACGGCCCTGGCTCTTCATGGGATAATTTCAAGTCTCTCATGATTACAGTAGGGAAATAGTTAATGCTTCACAAACTATATCTCTTGATAAGATAAGCATGTCTCCATGTTTTATTTAGCCAAAAGGGAAATTAGAAGCTGAAGAACAGAAAGAAGCTCAGATTTGTAATTATTTCTCTTTAATTAGAAAACTAAAGTGAGCATGCCTGTTTTGTTTTCAGTCTCAGTGGCGTGGCTACAAGCAAAGAAAGGCATACCAAATCCGTTTGGATTACCTGCGAGCACAAAAGGACCAAGTAGTAAAGGTAGTGCAGGCTCCTGCAGACTTTCTTGGTAAACCTTTTGGGTAGTGAACTTTGTGGGAAAGGTTTTTATCTGAGTGTTTTGGTTACTCTTCAATAGATTCAGTCAATGACCAGGATGTATCAAGCCAGAAGACGTTACAGAGATCGTCTGCAGTATTTCAGAAACCATGTAAGAGGCCATCTTGTTAAATATATTTTGTACCTAACTTTTGTACTCTTTCCGGAGTGATGTCAAGTGCCTTTTTGTTTTTTAAATCCTAGATAAATGACGTTGTAAAAATTCAAGCCTTTATCCGAGCAAACAAAGCACGTGAAGACTACAAAACACTCAGTAAGTATTGCCAAGAGGACAAAACTGATTTGGCTCGAATCTCTGTTTGCAAGAGGTCATGGAATCATAGAAGAGATTCCCCAATTCTCTCAGCCTTTCTCCATAGGAGAGATACTCCAGCCCTCTGATCATCTTTGTAGCCCTTCCTCTGGACTCACTCCAGCAGCTCCACGTTCTTCTTACGATGGGGGCCCCAGGCTGGATGCAGTACGCCAGGTCAGGTCTCATGAGAGTGGAGTGAAGGGGGAGAATTACCTCCCTTGACCTGCTGGCCACACTGCTTTCCATGCAGCTCAGTTGGCTTTCTGGGCTGCAGGTCATGTCGAGCTTCTCATCAACCAGCATGATGATGTTGGTTGTGTGATCTATAACATCAAGACAGTTTTGAGGAGTGATCAGGATGAAGTTGGTAGGACAGTGTGTAGAGTAGGTAGTTCTTGAGGCGGCTGAAGAAAAACTTGATTCTAGCTGTTGCTTTTCCTGC